CTCGTAATTCTGTAAAACGAGATCCAATCAATTGCACCAAATAATCTTGATTGGTCACCTGAAAAATTGCCCTCAACACATAAAAATTTTGATTTCATTAAATTCCAATGAATCACCACTGTATGACTACTCTCATTATTTCATAAATTAAACTTTTAGTTTATTAAATGATAAACAAACAAAATAAAAAAAAACAAAGAAGAAAAGAACTCTTAATTAAAATAGTTTGGCTACCTCAGAATATAAGATGCAAACCTGTAAACCACCATATGATGGACGGAAAGAGACAAGATGCCATAGCGATGGACTCTGAGCTATTTCTTTCCATCGCTTACAGACTTGTCCAACAATGAGCACTTGATAAGGTGATAAATATGAAAATATTGCCTGCAGCATTTTGTCTGGTAGTTTTTCGACGGTCTGCAAAATATCGAGAAATGACAGTTGAAAACAAAATGAAGAAAGTTTCATCTTTTAAACTAAAAATTGAGCTGCCGTGACATTTACAAAATAAATAATTAATAGCAAATAACAGTGAAATCTATCTTGTCTAATTAATTTGTATAATGCTCTCTTCATCCTCATGTTTACGATGACAACCGAAAACAAATGCTCTCTGCCCTCGTGCAACCATTCAGAATAATTTTTGACGCTGTTAAAAAAAAAACGAAAATAGTTGATGAAATATGAAAGATTTCGGCCAGCTTTACATGATGATAATAACGATGGTGATCATTGTGCCAATAGATTTTAATTTTTCTCACAAAATTGTCGATGTATGAAGTTTCAGTAAAAAAAATTGTGATACCGCAGTAATGACTAACAACGATATTGTCTAATGAAACTGTCGGCATTTCGTCTTCCTCCATTTTTTTGGTGAAGCTATCAATTTGATGCTTTGTTAAGCGACGGGTCATATCGTAGAGGGCTGCCATTTTTCACTATTTCGATTTTAGTGATGCCATAAAATTATTCATTGCATTTAATCAACTGACAAAAAGTTTGGGTAATACATTTTATACAAGACACGTCTTCGCGTTAGCCAGCACGATGGTATCGCTGTCTAATTATAATATCACTCAGTGAATTCATTCTGTATTTGCTTATATAGTTCTTTACCAAATGTTCCGCTAAAAAAAAAATAAAATAGAGAATCAGTGAAGAGGATGAGCGAGAAAGATAGTAGACAACAAATATGTGAAACGACTGGTATCGGGAAGCATTCAAAGCAAAGTCATTTATAGTAAGTTGGCTTGTGCCAAATGCGCTTAACAAGCTACTTTTTCAGAGTAGAAGGGTTTGTATGAGGAGAAATAATATTCAATTTTACAATGAATGAATTTATGCAGGGCGAGGATGATTCCATTAATTAATTTATGGCGAAGGAAAGAATAAACAAGTTTCAAAGAAACATAGGTAAAAAGTATTAGTTTCACACTGATTATTCTAATTTCGATGATTGAACGGTTTAATTGAATTTTTACTAGTTTGAAAAGAATGATGCTGACGTATGAAGAAATGGAAAGAGAAGATTCATTGCTAAGTGGAAATATAATAGATGTTGGATGTAAAATGTAGTAGTAGCAGGCTTTTTAGCACGGGAAACAATAAATAAGCTGGAAAACATCAAGCAGTCGAAAACAGCAAATAGCAGTTTGGCAACCATTTGTAGTTCGTGCACCTTCGCCTCATGTACTTCGATTGGCAAAACAGCTTTAAATTTCAAATCCTTCTCATTCTTCCTCCTTTCTTCCTGCATATCATGTCATATCATATCATTACACTGTTTGCGCTAAGCATACTACGAACTTATGCTAGTCATTCATCCTGCATAGGCTATTAACATTAATTATATTTTGAATATTATTTGCTTGTAGTTTATCCATTATCATCTGGACAAGACATAATAATCGGATTAAACATATATCTCGAACGCTTTTCTTCAATAGACTCCATTGCATACAAAAAAAAATGCTTTCTAAGTAAATAATCTGGTTAATTTTTGATTGGTTTACTTAAAACGCATTTTAAACATGCTCATGAGTATACTTGCACACCGGTCGTCAATTCTGGATTTAATTTTCAATTTATCGTTGAACCCTTCAACTTATCCATATAAGTAAGTACACGATGAAAAGACAGAAATCCTGCCCTTTTAACAGATTATACCTTTTTGTTTACTGGGCATAATTTACAATGATCATCTTCTCTATCGTAGTTTTGAGATTCGTAGCTGATCCATAAATGTTCGTTTGAAAAAAGATCGAAAAAAAAAATATCTGCTTAGGAATTTCAATCAGTGACGACTATTAAAAGTCAAAACAGTAACCAAATAAGAAATCGGTGATATCGCTAAATGATTTTTTGAGTATTTTAGCAGCAGCAAGAAAACTTTTATAAAATTCGCTACTCCATTCTCCGATAAATCGAACATTTTTATGTAAATAGATGTGATTGAAAAAAGTTGCTGGTAGATTTGCTTGCAAACATCTGAGTATGATGAAAAGCGAGAGCGATAAGCATCAAAAGAAACTTGTCCGAAACATTGGTCTAAGCATGTTTAACAACTAATATTCAGAAGTGCTTAACCAACTACATTTCGAGTGAGAAGAGATTGCAACATCAAAATTGTCGCTATTTTAAACTCCTTCCTGAATTTAACTTAAAGTCATTATTTGAGTAATCAAAAATTTATCAATAACAATCTTCATAATGATGATTGAAAACTAACTATATTTCTGGACTCAATTAGATATTTGCTGATCTATTTTTACTTAGCATATTTATGAATTACAACGATTTAATTACCCACTTTCTCTCCAACTTTGTAAAACTCAAACTAGTTTAGTTTCATTCCCACGAACAAATATTCAATGAAGTGTGCAAAAATCCCTTCCATTTCATCTTTTCATGTTTGCGCACAGTGAGCTACAGTGATTATAATTTCAAACTTACATATTCTTGGAAGTTTTTGAAATTTCAAAATAACTTTCGCTGTCGGTCAGAAGTTTTGCCAAGAAACAATTAACACAATATGGCGACTTTATTTCAATTCATTTTCTTAAGTCTACTTGTAAGCACAAAGTGACAACTTACAACTTGTGGAAGTACCATCACAGTAATATCAGAAGCTGATTCATTGTAGACATTTCGTCGATTCATTATTGGGATATTATTACCTGGAAGTGGGTGAAAGGATTGAGTGTGGAAAGAAATGTTGAATTTTCTGCTTAGCGACAATCATTTAATTCAGTAATTGAATTCCTGAGTTCTAGCAGTACGAACCATTTTAAAGGCAACTTTTAATGGAATACGGAAATTAAATTAGAATTCTGTAAATTGCAGGTGTAGAAAATGCCATAAAGTAGTAAGTAGTAAGTATTTGTGAATATGTCTGAGAATGGAACAATATCAGAGAGATAGAAACCGACGATGTTGACTGCCGAATAATTGATTGTGCAGCAAAAATGGTTTGTTACAAATAGATTAAAAGGGAGGAAGCGAGAAAGCAACAAGGAAGAATACTGTTGACCAGAAGGTAAAATTGAAGAAATTGAAATTGGTTTATGATAGTAGTATAAGCAATCGAAGAATTACGACGCAATGCGGATCGAAATATCTGTAAATCAACTGGTAGATATACAGAGATCACCAGTAATCCATAGTCTGAATCAGTGGTCCGCAAGTTAAAAGATGAAGTTTCAATTCGTTTAGAGTTTTTTCGCTTTTTTAATGCCGTTGAGCTGATACACCATCGACTGTGTAACACACCCTTCAATACTGAGTTTACACACACACATACATACATACATACATACAAAGATACATCTTATTACTCGAGGACAGTTCAAAATAAATTGAAAAAGTGAGGGAGGGAATTTTTTAAAAAAAGCTCCGAAGCAAAATTAATTGACTATGCTGATTATTCAGTCATGACGAAACATTCTACTACCAGAGATACAATGATGGTGCAAATCTCCTTCGTTTCTTTACTTATTGAAATATGTTCCTCATCTTTGTGGATTGGAAAGTGTTTCCCAATGAAGTGACTTGTGAATGTCATCAAATGGCTTAATGGCCAGAGTTCGCAATATTAAACAGACAATTAGTTCGTTCTGACAAATATTAACCATCTAAAATAATTTTAAATGTACGTGAGAATAAATACGACTAATTTATGCGTTACAGATGTGAGACTTTAACAATGAGAAAAACTGGCTTACCAATGTGCTACGATTATAACGATCGAGTCATTAGCTTCGCCTTAGTTAGTTTAGTTTAATTTATTAGTTTCTTTAATTTGTTAGTTTCTTTTTGCGATAAAAGAAAAAACAACCGATATTTGATATTTATCCATTTCCAGTCAGTTGTGTAATACTTAAGCTGGTAAAAAGATTACCGCTCGCTTGAATGTTAAATTTGCAAGAAAAATTATTTCGAAAAAATCTGACAACAGATCACGTCTACAACTGGAAATATATAGGTAGCAATTTTCTTCCATATCCTTCGCTGTGAAATTTAACATATGTATTACATTCATTTCAACGTGGAAATAATAATAACCAGGTATCATAAAATAATAGCGGGAATATTTTTAACGCTTTAAACGGACTGTACTGGGTTGACTAAAGCGAAGTAGTCTGAACCACCAAGAGTTTAAATGAAGAAATAGAATGGGTGGAAATGATGTTACAACTCATGCTGCATAATTCCATCAGGTTGGCGGTAATGAGTGTCAATCAGTCTCGACGGCGGAATTGATTTTAATGTAGTATGAATTTATTTTAACTGCTGTGAAATAACCAACCATTATATAATTATATGATTTGCGATGAACGAAAAGTTATCTGCCGTTTAGCTGTTGACTTTTATATTATCAGTGTTTTGATCAATATATCATTGATAATGACATCAGAGGAATCAAATGTCCAAATAATTAACTGCTCTTATTAAATGTCCATTACCACAACAAAAAAAACTTTGAATAATTACGATCATTTTCAATGAAATTCGAAGACAATATCTTCATCAAATAAACTCACAAGCGCTCTTGTCTTACTTAGCGCCCAATTCATTCGTCCAACTGCTTTCATCTTTGCATAAATTTGCTTCTTTTTCTTCTTCCATCCATCAGTACCATGAAAATGTATTTCTTGTGTTATAAACAAGCCTTCATTTTGTTTCAGGCCCTGCAATTTGCTAATGTTCCAAACAGAAATATATTGATCGATTCTACACATTTACTTATGATTCCCACTTTTCCTTTTTATCTGTAAAACACATAACAGATCACTGGCAAAAATATAATCATCCGTAGTAAAATTATGTTTACAAAGATGCCTCTTTCAAAATGTATAACTAAATACTTGCAAAAGTTCAAGTTTTGATTTGATTACTTAAATATTGGAGATCTAAATTCAGTAACGACACTCTAAAGCGTTATCAGTACTCTATCAGAAGTTAAAAAGAAAACATTTTAACTGGAATGATTTGGTGAAAAATCTTCAAAATACGATTTAACCTACAATCTCTTTGTCTTATTTTTTTAAAAAATATAGAGAAATGCAATAGGCCACTTTATGAAAGTAAATCTATGGAAATTTTGAATATTATTAGCCCAAAAAATAAGAAAATATTTTACCTGCCAGTCAGTCATTCGATTTGTTTTTTCAAACATTGTTCGTTTTAATAAATTTCATAATAACACCAACCACTTAAGTTGAATGAAAGCCTTAACTCTTCATTTCATCAACAAGTAATTGACAAAGCTGTAAAAGCGAAAATGCAGATCCTGAAGGTCATTGACATTTGCACTTGACATTACCAAATAGCAATAGGATTTATTCATTATGGGTAACATTGACCATTTCAACTTTAGATGTTATATATGCACTTATCTAATATTTATATTTACAAAAGGAGTATTTGACCAGCACTAGAAAAGATAATGGAAACAAACAGCATGGAATAAGAGATCTGAGCCATTTGGAAGCAAATGTTGCCAAGTGAAAAAAAAAACATCTGAGCTTTAAAGGGTTATGATCAATGCATATTTTAGACTGAAATATATAAACCCAAACAGCTCAGGCAATTTGGTAGTAGGTAAATGATAGGAAAAAGCTAAGGAATGTTTGATGAATGAAAGGGAAGGTGTTCTATTGACGATCACTGTATATATATATATAATTAATGACGATTTCTTGCGTAGCTTAGACGACTGCTCTACTGCGATGTCTCTTCCCTTCCCATTACTACAGATTTAAAAAAAACCTCTCCCATATTTTTTTAATACGAAAAGATGCAACGATGGATACAATGAGCCTGCATATCATTATTTAATGCAATATCATCCAGCAATGTGATTTTATAAATTTAAATGACAGCATTTATAAATGCTTTCCTAATGCTTATTATCTTAATCCTAGAACATTGACAATTTATTAGACGAGCTATCGATTCCTAATTACGATTATTCTTGTTCACATTATTGATGTCTATCTTAGTAACAGACATTTTCAACTATCGCAATAATAGTTTCAACTCGTAATAATCACCAAATTTTGCTCAAAGAAAATTAGTCAGCAAACAGTACACTATATTGCGAGAATGGAAAATGGGGTCAAGAAATTCTCAAATCAGATGAAATCCATAAGACAAGAAACAGTAAGCATAATTATACTCTCGAATTAATTTGAATCTTCATAAATTGTAGTAAAAAGTTACAGGCCAATAAAAAACTTTTTTAAAAGAAGGAAAATAGCTTTTGCTTTGAATTAATCCAGAAAAGAGCTGAAAATTTAAGGAAAGTTCACTGCTGTTTAAGAGGGAATGAGAAGAAGTGCCAAATAAAGTGACTTTGCAATAGATATCACAAAGTAACACATAGCACCAAAGTTCGAGCAGTTTTTGTTAAATGCAATCCCAATGTTAAAGTGCAGAAAACGGATCATCATATGCCATCTCTGAGGTTTTGAACACTTGCGATGATTGCATTTTCATTTGAACAAAAAAACTTAAAATATCTCTTCAACTAGTGCTCGAAAAGTTTTAAAGATTTAGAAGAAATTTGTTCCCCGTTTGAAATGCTTTATGTTCGAAGCACCACTTCAAAAACTGATCAATTTTGACTTCATTGTGCAAAAAATATAGAGACAAATGGAATACACATCATACTAGGCTCCAGTAGAATTTTTCTGTTCAAAGTAATTAATTCATTTGTTTCGGATTTAATCTGCAAAGTTCATGAGACGTTTCAAAATCAAATCCTGAATTTCCAATTCCTGGGTTTGAATTTCTATTTCCTGATTCCTTTCCAGGCATCTCACTTTATCTCTTCACCATGATATAGATATAGAGATGATGCTAATTGAGGAGTTTCAGGCCATGAAATTTTAAACTCACCATGGAAACTTCGAGCAAGCTCGAAGTATTACATATCAATTAACCAATATTTGAAATAGAAATTCAAATTCTAATGAATGTGACCTCAACTTGATAACTGTTACCAGTCTCTATTCGTGAGTTCATATATAACATTTCTGGTCGATATATTTGCAAGCATGTTCAATGCTAAAAATCGGAGAAAAAAAAATCATAGTAACCAGCATACAAAAAGTTATGCAAATTTAGCCAGGAAAATTGAACTTTAAAGTTGGAATTCTAGTGATGGAAGTATTCTTGAACTGCTAATTCTTTTTATACTTGAAATTCAAAACATCACAATTCAATTCTTAGCAATAATTAATGCAACAAATGTTTGAATTCGTTGCATACTTTTTTAATGAAAATTGTTCTAGTTTTTCTCGTATCTGAAAACAAAGAATGATGCCAAATGAATGTAATTTACTCTTTCTTAGATCTTTTTTACCTGAGTATAGAAATTCTACGGGACATAGTGATGGTTTTTAAGGTAGCGCGAATGTTTTCTGACTTTTAATTCAGTCGTTTCTAATCGCTTTTTTTCGCAACTTATATTTACATGCTCATTTTATATTCTTTTAATGATAATTTGTTTTTAATTCAGGAATTCCACTGAAACAAGAGGAAATAAGAACAGCGAAACGCTTAGATGAAATTTTTATAAATGTCTGAGTAGTAGTCAAATGTCGTAGAGCTTAATTAATCATCGCAACAATTATAAGGCTTCAAAATTCTGTTATTAACATAATTAGTGTTTCAAATATTGTTCTAAAAAATAGTTTATAATGTCCTTTACATTCTAAAATATCGGTTCCTCGAACAAATTTCTAATGAACTGAAAAGTTGTCATATCGAATTTTAACGATTGCTTTTTCATAATTAAAATCCAATCGAAACAAAAGTAATATGAATACGATTTGTTCAATCTGAATATACTTTCAGATGAAACTAAATATGTCATTGCATTAAATATGTTATTTAATGACTGAATTATTTTTTTTCGCTTTATTTTATTTATTAAAGGCTGTTTCCATTTGTTCTTTTCCGGCCTCTGGAAGGTTTCCCATCAGGAATTGTGGCTTTTAAGTACAATTATTATCAGGTCTATAGGGATATGAAATCCTTCATACCTTTTTTCAGGTGTTCACTTAGCAAGATAGCTGAAATTTCCACGGAAAGTTGGTGCGAAGGAAGGATCATCATGAAAATTAGATTTTCCTCAAATTAATTTAAAAAAACATGAGGAGAAGAAGAGGTGGACGAATGCATGGAACAGATAAGATGGGCAGAAGGGACAAGGAGGGTATGGACGAAGATACATTTTGTTGAATGTCTGTGACATATACCCGTGGAGCTGCTGGAAAATGGATTAAGAACGGGTCTGTTTCACGGACGAGTATTGGTGGAGTAACGTTGTTTCTTGAAAATGCGATCAAAATGACACGGCCAAACGTCATTGTGATCGCCTTTTCACCTGTGTGAAAGTCTGTAACTACTATTAATGATGTTGCTGCTGACGTTATTACTGATGATGGTGACGATCATGATGGTGATGATGGTGGTAGTGACAGTGATGATGCTGGTGCTATCAGCGACCAGGGCGACGATCGCGATGGTGATGATGAGATGCGATCGCCTCTCTCTACGACGATGTTCCCTCGCGGGCTGATCGCTGTTATCCGTATCTATCCCATTCTGCTGCAGTAACAGACGAATGAATCCCTTTTTAATGTTGATGTTTATCGCTATCTCCCTCTTCGTCAATTTTTATGCTTTTTCCCAATACATTTTTACCGCATTTACTTTGCATAAATTTCAAGCATTTTTTTTTCCTTTCTTTATCAAGTTTTATAGATTGTATCATTGCAGTCGGATTTGCCAGTCAGATCTATTATTGGAATTGTTATCATAGTCATAGGTATCATTCCTATCGCGGCGATATGATCGATTCTCCTCGATCCATTGCCCTGCTTTCCCCTCTCTTTTTTTGCGATGCTGGCATACCTGATACTGTGTCGCTTGCCACCATCACTTGAATTTTATCCTTCTGGCGACGTGTGATTAACTACTCTTGATGAACAGGATGATTTGGGTTATAGCATGGTGAGTTATTGGCTCGTTGTAGGAGAATTGAAGAAGGATTCAACAAGGTAGGAAGATGGATAGCAAGAGCAATCCTGATCTATTCTACGAGAGATACTGGTGGTATCTTGAAAACACCACTGCTATTCGCTTTCTCTTCTGGAACACTTGCAAGCAGGAAGTAGCATTGTTAGCCTTCGGTAAATCAGATGACTTTTTTTCATAATTTACAGACATCAGATGTGTACCAGCACCCGGTGGCAGAGTTGGATTTATGCTAAACGACCACGATAGAGGTGAAGAAGTGCTCGCGTGGAACGTAATGGACAAGTGGAAGTGCACGAAGACCTCAGGTGTAGTTTTACTTACTCCTAAGGAAACGACCCTTTTGTCAGTATTTCGTATCTCGACAGCATTTCGTATTTGTTTCATCGCCATGCTACTGTCCACTGCATCCACTCTTCATAGTGTAATGTTAACAGCCGATCAACATCAACAAAACGAGGTTGCCGCCTGTACACAAACTGATCTCTCATCAGCATCAGGTTATTTCAAATATTCAATTTTTCAACAACTAGTGTTCGAAAATATCGTCCTCAGCTGTTGTTATATGCGGCCAGCATATTCATGCATTTTCCCAGAGTACTGAAATTTGATATCATATTTCAAATTTCAGTCGAAAAAATTTCAGTTTTTAATTAATGAGGTAAAATTTTAAAGCCATTTTTCAGAGAGCGAATTGTTGAGCTGTAGGCGTCATTATCGCTCCTTACTGCAAAGAGTCGACGGCGAACTAGCACGAGTATCACGTCAGAAACGCTATTCTCCCTTATCAGCATCATTACCCAATCTGGAATCGGCGTTTTTCATGGATCGTCTCAATACCATACGTCTCGCACGTGAAAAGGAGCTGAACCATACGCTTACTGAAGCTAATGACGAAGGAATTCTCCAGAAAAGGCGTAGACCATTTGTCCCGAGGGTAATACTTTGTGGTGCAAAAATTTTATCATTATAAAAAATCAAGAATTTCGAAATTTTTGTTCATGTAAAGCATTTTCAACTGCCCATCACTGTCGTTTCAGAGAAACAGTACAGCTGAAGAATGTCGTCAATTATCGCAACAAGAATTGGTTACTGAACTGAAGCAGAAAGGAACATATAACCCAGATTTGATGGCATGGGATGCTTCTGGAATTATTCGTTTCTTGGATCGTTCTATAGGTGATCAGTATGAAGTAAGTGTATTACACGTAAAATCAGATAGAAAAGTGATTGCTAAACTTTTTAAAAATTAAGATCAGTTAAAAAATCTTTGAAATATGTAATAACTGATAATATTGCAGAGACAATCGAAAACTCGTCCAAGTGTCGAGGAAACAATGGAACGTAATGTGGAGGCACTGGAACGGATATTGTCGGAATTGAATATTAAATGTGATGTACGTTCGCCTTCGGTGATTTCGCGGCTGCAAAATCTGACATCGTGAGAGTTCGCTACATATCTTACACATTACTTTACGATCGCCACTTTTTTATGATATTCAACTCTAATTTTTTTAAAGTTTCGTGTAAATGAATATCATAGCCTCCACTTCATTGAATATCTGTTGGCGATGATAGCATCGCTGTCACATCAGTAACAAACAAATTCATCGAATTTAGCAACGTGCAGATTAAGTTTAAATCGGAATATATTATTATCAATAAAATGCGACATGGAATCTTTTTAGTTTAATAATTTGCAAATTGTATTGAGCCTAAAAATATCATATCATGATCTTGTTACACCTGTAAAGATCGAGACTTCTCCAGTTCAGCAATAAGTCATATTCTGCAGTACTTTTGAGATAGGCCCTTTCTTTTCTATTCTCCCTAGCGATAAGTTTAGAAATGTGCATAGGACGGAAAGTCGACGAACAGTTATATCGCCATCCATACGTATGATGGATTCCGAACTAGAACGAAACAAGCGTGGAACCGCTGGGAGTGTCATCGATTCCTTGATAGCATCGGGAGCTGCTGATGCTTACACCAGAGAGGATTTAATAATGCGTAAACGGCAGAAACTCATTGGTTAGTTTTCGGTTTTGCTTTTTCTGAATCGGAATTTATCACCACATCCCGAAATTTCTAAAAAGCTTTTCATGGGTTAAAAAACTTTTAGTAAATTAGTTTTATTAAAATCTCGGAATATTATTTCGAAAACCTAAACGTGTTGCTTGATTATATGTGTTCAAGCTGTAATTTTTTATAAAAATTTTAGGAGATGTTCATGTGATACCGCTTGGATGTGATAAGCGAGGTGGCGAAGAAGACGGTTACCTGAGGTTATGTGGTGCTTGTCAGGCGATACGTCGGTTACCGGATACATTTTTTCCACCATTTATCAACGAAGTGATGTGTGATGACGACAAAGCTTGTCTTTATTTTTATGATTTCCGTGCGTTTGCGTTTCTTCTCAAATCATCTAGAGAACACAATGTATTCTATTTTGGACTAGTGTATTTTATTTTACTACACAGACCTTAGGTATGATATCATTGGTCCTCGATATTTCTGAAATTCACACCCATACTGCATTATTCTCTCTTTGCTCATGTAATTCTTTGCTAATGATAGAGTTAGGGTTGTTGTCGAACTGATTTAGTGCATTCAAATAAAGAATTGGCATTTCAGCTCATGGAAAATGCACGCAGAAGCATATGAATTTCGTCGTATTGAAAAACGTCGGTACAGATGATTGTCAGATATGGCAAAAATTCAATCTTAATGTACGAGTTTCCTGCGAATGTTTTGTTGGTTTGTTATTTGTGATATATTTATAAGATATTTGAATTTAGCTATTTTATGTGCACTATAGTAATTACGATTCTTCGAGTCCAAGACTAAGTAAATTTTTTGACTAAGTTCAAGAAGGGATAAAACAATGCTGCACTTATTGGTACTAATATTAACTTATTATTGAACAAAAGGTGAGTTGTTTTATATAGTTATCGAAAGTACATTGTTTAAAGAGTTATTATGATAATCATCATTCGTTGTTGATTATTAATTTAGGAAATTAAAGCTGAGCTTAGCGCCTATGCCTGTGATGCTGTTATATCATAACATTTGTGAATTGAAGTACTCTTTTTCCGGCCTGTTTAACAATTTACTCAGAATATAATTGTTATGGCGTGAAACTCATCGTAAAACCAATATTTTCAGATGAGATGTCATTCTTTGCAAAATATGTTTGAGTATTGGACTATAAGAGGGCATTGGTTTGAAGTGGATGTGAAGCGGCTATTAAAGGCAATTTCAAATTTTCAATCAGTCTTATTGGCCAATGCAACGAAATACACTACCCATTGTCTTCATACCATAATTCTGTACAGAATTTGTACATAAAGTCTAGATTTTGCTTTCTTTTTTTTCTCCTGAACTTGTTCACTCTGTGAAATTGAGTGATGCAATTAAGTGAAACTATGGTATTTCGATACTTCGTCAGCCCTTAGTACTCAGTTAATATATTATAAAGTAAGACGTACTACAAAATTATAGAAATTATGGACATTTTAGAAGCGCTGCAAAGTCCTACAATTTGTTTGTAATTATCTTTCAAATATTATCTAATTTTGTTACGAAAATTGTTTCTCACTTCTCATGCAGTTCTCTGAAATGTTTTTCCGCAGTGGTTTACTTTTTTTTAAATCAATTTCGTAGAAGTAAGATATGATGGCATTCATGTGAATGTTACCATTTAGAACAAAGGAATATTTTTGTTGTTATTTTTGATTAGATCGAGTGAATGTTTTAGTGCTTTGTAGTTATTACGTGTAGTTCAGGTATCTTATCACTTGTTGTCTATTAAGTTTTGATACTGTTAAGTTTTGATAGCCATGGACTTACTTGTTATTGAAGTTCAGCCTAGTTCACAGTTAATAGTATGAAATCGTCAACTTAAGCTATTTTAAACCGTCTCCTGCGTCATTTATGGAAATTTCATTTAAATTTCAAGTATGTTGGGAAGGATTGTGAAAAAACTGAGATTAACACAATTTACCAGCAAATAATGCATATTATATTATGAGTTGAAGTACGTATGTCAATTGTGCTGTGCCGGCAGGGTTTGGGGTGAAGAGATATTAAAAGATGTCCTTCAGATGTGATAATTAGGAATTGCACGAGAAATGAATCTTGGCCATTTTGACTCGAATCCAACTTTAGACAAATTGGCGGTCATTCCAATGGGATTGCTAGTTGGTGGAATTCCTATCAATCAGCTTATTCTTGAGTTTAAAAAATTGCAACTGACAATAAACTGTTTTTTAAAGTTGTCCGTTCAATTGTTCTACTTTTACAAGCGAAGGTGTGACATTTTTATGCATCATGAGGTATCCGGATAGAAAAACGGAGAAGAAATGTAGTTGAACAGGTTGTTAAATACTTCCGAAAAAATATGTACTTAGCAAATAGTGAAATTGTCGGCCACTGTCGTTCTTAGGAATTCAATGATACACAGTTTGCTTGTGTAAATAAACGCTGAATAGCATAAAAGCTTCTTTCTCAACTGCTCACAATTAAAAACATGTGAAAACATCTCTGATTAGAGTTTGAATTAATCATAGCTAGAGTGCATATCAGCAGGCATGTGAATTCAATGAACTCATGTTTGAATATGAATTTCATTGCCTCTTTTTTATGCTACCTTATTAAATACGATTTTATTTCAGTTTCAACTTCTACTCTTTCTAATACATTTGTTCGAATCTTCCCTTCATCAGGTTTTAGAAAGTTCATTTCTTTCATCACAACAATGTTTCTGTTACTCTCTTCGGCCACAACAATGTTTTAAATTTTTTCAGCACTTTAATTCGGAATCTTTAGTATTTCTAGAGAAGAAAATGATACCTAACTTCGCATAGCTTCTCATCCATCTTCGCTAGAAACATAAAACTTCAGATCGCTTTGTTTTAACATTTTCTCACTCTCGAAGATCTGAAAAAATTTTGATTTGATTTATTAATTATTCATTTGTGAACTATAAATTATTATATTCAGAAGAATAAATATGCTTAAGCATGCTTCTTCATTTGTAGATTTCGGAAAGGGATATTATTATGTAAATCCCGTCTTGTCCCTAAGCAGCGTAAACAGCGATTGTAGTTTTCGGATTACATAGCTTGAAATGCTTTCAGAACAAAATGCCTGAATCTCTTTTAGATAAATTCGAAGCTTTTCAGGTCTTCATATCTATGGATTTACGATAAATACCTGTAAATGAGAAAGTCCAATATATCTCTGAATCATACAATGTTGAGATGTGCTTTTTAAACAAGAAAAAAATTAATTTGAGAATTATTGAAAAGTAAAGTGTAAACATCCTAAGCTTCTAGCTCATACGAATTTAATTATCTTTGCATTGGTGGGGAAAGCAGTTAAAAGGCGGAAACATAATTTTGGTGCATTTTTCATTTATAGTTGTTCGACTTTTAAACAATGAACGATTTTATTTGTTAAGCTTTTTGCTTCGTTTATTCTAGCAAATAGCTTTTTAAAAAGAAAGGAAATAATAATTTGTTCCATTCATTCATCATCATCATCATCATCATCATCATCATCATATGCACATTTTATCAATAAAACTACGCATTGCTTCACTTCTGATTGGGACTGATCACGAATTGGCTGGATAATTAAAAAGCCATGAAATTCTTAGTTTAATTTAATTATGAATCACTTGACTTATTACCGAGCTTCTTTTACATTATATCTACATTAAATGAAGCAATGCTTATCTTTCCAATTCAAATATATATTTCAATAGACGCAAATAAATTACGAGAAAAAAGAGAATAATAAAGTCGCAAAGAATTTAAAATCATTAAATAATAAAATTTTATCCATTACCCGAGCAATTAACTTTTTATTTATTATTCTGAGCGATTATAGCTTCTTTTTTTTCGCAAATTTGATATAATGATTAACACTTTCAAATTAAATAGATTTGAAAATAGTAAACAATTTCCTATTTATTCAATAATCCAATAAAAAAGTTTTTTTTGGTAATTTCGGAAAGTTCATTGCTGACTTATTAATCTTTTGCTGTGTCATCTGCATCGATATTTTGATTTTTGAAGAGTGATGAATATTTGTCATCACCTTCTATCGTAATGTATTCATCAGCGCAATATTTTATTAAGCATATTATCGAACCAGGAGTTATTTTGCGTATGCTGATGAATATCAGTCTTTTTTTGGCTGCAAAACTTTGCGGCACTTATTTATGGAAGTAGTGGCTGGAAAGAAAATGCTCGGGAAAAATGAAAAATGGAAAAAGAGAAAAAAGGTGCGAAGCCTGGAAGAGCACCTCTCAGACTTATAAAATATATTACGGGGAAATCATAAATGAGTTGACATTGCTTCAACAGCTTTATTTATGCTAAATGTTATTATTTTTCAAAACAAATTTTCCTGAAAAGTGTTTTTTGAATTTCGTATTTTAGTGTTCTGAAAATAAGTAGTACGTGAAAGCCAGGAAGATTAAAGTCACTAAAAGGCTGTAATCGAGAGATATTCGAAAAATCTTAAAACGTCTTTTATTCAAAATTCAAAGGAATACTACGATTACTGAAGTTAATAATATCCTGATCAGTTCTGATATCTCCACGTTTTTTTTTATGGATTCTGGATAGTGAATTATGCAGAGCCGCTCCGTAAAAAATGATCGAATTCTATCACAATCTTTCAGACAAAGCTTTAACGTACAACTTTTGCTTATTGTTAGCAAAGCAATTTTTATTGTAGCGCTGTTTGTTGAACACACTATTTTTTAAATGTAAGTCTTATTTAGGGGTTTAGAGGTATAAGCTTCGTTCACAACATTGCTTCTTTTTAATAGTAGCAATGCTTGAAATCGTATGTCATTCTTAGCGAAAAAGCAGTTAAATATTCGTTTTCTTCAAAATTAAAGGCTTCATAGGCTCAATTCTTGTTGTTTTTGAATTTTCATACTTTTGGGAACTGAAAAAATTATGGGACATTTCACAGATGAATTCGGCAGCCTTTTGTTGATTGATTTCTCTCGTCCGAAATGATGCACTTATTCATTCATTGACTAAAATAAACGAAGCCCTCTGCTCATGCTAGCTTCATTTTCGCACCCAACCTGAGCTGGATCTCCTTCCTCCTATCGTTCGTTGCCTTTTATTTTCCATCGACAAGAACTGCAATTTACAGAAAGAAATGGTTGAGGCATTCTCTGTCGATATATCCATTTCTCTATGTCAAATCGCTATTGGTATAAAAATATTATGCAAGTGTATCGTAGAAATCAATCATTAGAAAGAAAAACGCATTTTCTTAAAAATCTTTGATTGCCTCACGAAATTTAAATGGATTGTCATACAACTGCAAATTATGATTCTCGAGGGATCCTATTGTTTGCGAATGGGAGGCATCCAAACATCTCAATGAACTTTAAATTATATGAACTATTTGTATGAAAGTTGTGATGCATCTTGAAAAGCTAAGAATTTTGTTTTATATAAATCTCAATAAATCTGTTTCAAGTTGCAAATGGCCTACATCATATAGAACCGGATTCAAGTAATTAGGTACTAATATTCAATAAGTGAAAAATATGTGGTATCAGGTGAGACAAGTAAACAAATGCAACTACTTAAATTCTAACATTTATTTGTTTTAACTTGTTACCATATTTATGGTTCCATCTTATAACTGTTCAATGAATAATACTGATTTGCAATTGAAAAGAAACTTCTGACGTAAGAGAATTTAAAATAAAGACTATCTGGATGAGTTTTCTTCTATCAGACTTCGTAAGATATGCTTGATGATTAAGGAAACGAATTGCCATTTAACGGATCCTATTTTGTTGTGATAAACTACACTTTCAATAAATTTCTGCATTGCGAAGATATGCCATTTTCTGCCTTTGCAATAATCTGTTATCCAACATTTTTCATTCTCACTCTCATTTTCATAACAAACTCTTTTTCTTTACTCCTATATTATTGTATAATGTGCACTTGAATTACAATTTATTTTTGTGGTTTCCATATTACATTGGGATTGTTCTTTATTACTTAGTCAATCTCAAGAAACTTTTTTCTCATTCAATTGAATTTTGGAGCAATTAAATATAGTCCAAATCATTTCTGTTCTACAATTTCTTCATTGATTTGCTTATATTCGTTTTTGTTTTAATTATTCATTCAATTTCTCTTGCAAATAT